ATTTGATTTGATTTGATATGTCAATTTTTCAGGAAGCGCAAAACTAATAAGCAGCCTACAATAAAAACAAGAGAGCTGTGCTTTAATAAACAGACTTGTCCACTACATTTTAGTGTTAAACTTTTATGAAGCCACATGTTTAGTGACCTTGATAGGTGAGCCAATGCCAGTGTTAGAAAGTAGCATGGTTAATGTTCTTTGGCTGTTGAAATGCCAAGAACTGGTTTGAGGTAAGGCTCTGAACTGGTCCTCAAACTGACTTGGGGAGAAGAGGGCAACTGAAAACACAAGACAGTACCTAGAACTGAGGCCCCACAGGTCTGTATCAGTTCCATAAGAAAGATTCTACCCTGCCTGTCATTGAAAAATAATATGCTTGGTTGAAATTACAGTAGAGTGGTAGTTACACATGAGTTTAGCTTTTCCACTGCAGCTTTTAGTTTTAAAATATTTTTGGCATCAGATTGATTCAGATTCCTTAAAGGTACCTGGTTGTGTTCTTCACAACATTCAGTGTTTCTTATAAAAATATAAAAAAGATGGCTGAATGCATTTTCCTCATAAAACATTAGCAAAGGCTTTGTCACAGAATAGTTGCTGACAGTTTTGTTTCATTCCTTTATTTTCTCAACACACCTATTCACTGAAATTAAGGGAAAGTTTAGGTGTTAATCAGACAGAAGCACTTTTGGGTCACAATAAATGCTGATACTGTTTTGCCATAGTGGACAGAGAGTACAGTAGGGAAGACAAAGGCTACATTTTGAAGTGATCACAGCACTGTCACTGCCACATGCTGGCACTGTTATCAGCAGTGATGGTGGTGTTAAACTATTCCCGTGTGTACTGTGTATCTGCACAGGCAGAGCAGGAAGCGTTGGGAGCAATTTGTGCAGACTGAGAACCAGCACCTGGTGAGTCCTGAAGCTCTGGACCTGCTCGACAAGCTGCTACGCTACGACCACCAACAGAGACTGACTGCCACAGAGGCCATGGAGCACCCCTACTTCTGTGAGCAGAACACACTCTCACACACAGCTCACACAGGTGCACAGGGGGAAGGTTCTGCAACAGTCAAATTAAAGTCTGTAGCACTAGCAGGACATGACGTTTGATTGTAATTTGAGGTTTAAAGTCAACACTAGCTACTATATTGTCGTGGTGAATTTCGTCTTTTACATAAACTCACATTTGTTTCAGTTCCAAATAATACTCACTGTACAGCACAGCACTGAGAGTTCATGCCAGCAGCATGATAAGTGTAAACACACATGAAATGTGCTGCTGGTGTAAAGTTTAGGTTCAAGGTTCAAGGATTTTATTGTCAATTCACCATATGTGCAGGACATACAGAAAATCGAAATACTGTTTCTCTCTCACCTAGTACTGGGTGGCATAACATTTAGGAACTACAATAGAATAAAGTTGAATAAAAATAGAATAGAATAAGAACTGGATTAATGAAAATAGGATAAATCTAAATGGTTTATTCTGGTTACCTCTGGTAGGTTTAACATGAGACTGATTAATATTTTATCATTTCTTCAACAGTTCAGTCAGCCAGCTCACATGGAATCAATGATTTTATATGTATATTAACATTAATATATTAATGTTTGGTGTCTAGGCTTTGACATTGTACACCACCCACCCACACACCAAAACATCAAGCTCAGGACAGCAGGAAGAGGAGAGGGGAGACTAGTCTGTTCAGATTTTAGCAGCAGCATAGGTGAGCTGAGTGGCAGCATGCATGCAGCAAACTACTAGGCAGCACAATAACCACTTGAAAACGTGGCCATGATTCAAAGAGCATGCTGGATTCGTACGAGTGCCTTCATTTCTGCTGTGCATTTATAATTGTTTTGTGTTTTGGGGGGTTTTAGAGTTGTCCTAAACTCCAGGAAGCATTAAGTAAAGTTGGTAAAGAATCCTTAAAAGTTGTCCCTCTGTCATCCTGCAGACCCAGTAGTAAAGGAGCAGTCTCTGTCAAACGCTGACAACAACATGGTTTCTAGTGGCAACACTACAACGCGATGAAACGCAGGTAACAGTTTGAGAAATGACTCGCTGGTCACTGTGTAGCTTGTTGATTGTTTAGACTTTTAATATAAAAAATTAAGGTCCTTCCAGTGGTAGATGCCCATGGGTTTCATTGACGGACACTGTAGGTACTCAAAGCAACACAAACCTCACCTATTTTTTCAAGGGAATATTTCATTGTAGTACTGCAAGTGGGCTATGGGGAAAAATAGGCTGAGTGGTAGCGCCAGATCCAGCACTCATAATACACCCATGTTTTTATTTTGTTGTCTTTAGGTTCAGGTTACTTTATTGGTACCCTAAGGTAGATTCATTTGCAGCAGAGTGACAGTTCTCAACAAACAAAAATAAAACAGATAACACACAACATATATTAACACATAGAAAAACTTTAAACAGTAAGAAACATTAGACTTGGGAAGAGTGATACTTCTTATTAAGCTCATTAATGGAAGCAGGTACAAAACTAGTTTTATACCACTTCGTTCTGCATTTCTCCATTAAAAACCTCTTTCTGGATGGGAGGGAACAGAAATTCTTTTAGCTGCTTACTGCGTTTTAGTCAATTCACTATGTCACCCAGCCCCAAATGAGGACCACCTTACTGTGCTGCAGCAAAGAAGATACATGTCATATGGAGCCAGTCGGGGATAGTGAGTGATATACTGTACAGAGAGATAACAGATTGAAGGAAACAGTGGGCGTTTGTTCATGTATGCAGTCATTTGCATTTGGCGTTTTTTTCAATGCTTTAGGTTTTTCTTTCTATTTGCCACCTATCTGTGGTTCAGTGGGTAGAGCGGTTGTCTCCCAACCGGAGGGTTAGAGGTTCGAATCACGGGGCCTGCAGTCCACATGTTGAGGTGTCCATGGGCAAGACACTGAACCCCCAATTTGCTCACAATGGTTAGAATCATCGGTGTGAGTTGGCACCGGAGATGGCTGCCTTGGTTCTGTTCCTTGTGTGTGTAACATACTTGGCCAAATAAAGGTGATTATCTGTATTTGTTACTGACTGGTCACTGGAGGACGGCATCAGTTGTGGGTGACGACAGGTTTACTAATACCGATTCCACAGTGTAGAACACTGAGAAAATCAAACCCTTCTAAGACTCCAGGTCAGGCCGAGTCTGTTGAATGTCATGATTTCTGTAATTACATCCTCTCTTTTCTTTCCTCCTCACACTGTTGCATGTTTTCTCTCTTCACAGAGGTGGAAGAAGAAGGAAGTTTGTTACCTCAACTTTGTACCCGGTTGTGACAGTGACTTTGACAAGTGTACAGTGACAATGGATCAAAGTAACTCTGACCAGTTACACATTCACAGATATGTGCATACGGATACACATGTTACACACACATGTACGCACCAGTGCAAGCACACCCCTACACATACACACACACAGACAGACAGACAGACAGACATGTATACATACACCCTCCTCCTCTGTATCAGTCTGTGATTGGCCTGTCCTGGTTCCCTGTCCAGCAGCCTGACCAATGAGCTTGAAGCTGCTCCCCTGTCGTCCACTCAAACGGTCTTTGTCCTCCCAGTTCAGTCTCATGTAGGTCAACAGGGACAAACTACTCTTGAAGACATTTCAGTCCCTCTTCCTCTCTCTGTCGTCCCTCCTGTCTGTATCATCCCCTCTTTGTTTGCATCGGCATGGAGAATGATCAGGAGTGTGAACCTGTAAAAGCCCCACCCCGCCCAAACCATTCATCCACCCATCTGTCTGCCGAACCCCTCCTCCCTCCCTATCATGTACTCCAACAGACAGATGTCTTAGCACTACTCCAGTTCTGAAAGTGGCATGGTGGACACTCTCTAGATAGAAGGATAATGCTAATAATAATATTAATGAAGAATAAATGATTTTTATTTAGATGAAATTTGCCTGTGTCGGGAGTGAATTTATTGCATGTTGAACATGTCTTTGTTAGGTGTGACTCTACAAAGTGCACTGTCCTAGCACTTGTATTGCCACAACATTGTCATTTAGTAAATATGAGTATTAGAAATTTAACAAAGGAGAAGACTGGAATATAGTTATGTTCTGTCATTTTTGTGGCTTGATGGAGAATGGTGTTAAAGAATTCAGACCCTTTGCTTAAAGAATAAGGCTGGTCATTTTTTATATTAACAGTATTTTTGAGCACTCCTCATACAGAGACTAAACACAACAGTGGTTTGCTGAAACCCAAGACCCTAAGAATATCCAGAGATCTTGTACATGGACATTTGACTGGCTTATTTCATTTGCTGTAAAAAGTTATCTTATTTAGTTATTTTATAATAAATATTATGGTCTTGTGTTTCTTTGTGAGGAAACATGTCAACCAGTGTGGCAGTGCAATTCAGTGATGTATTTTAAATTGTTTTTGAATCACATTTAGGCCCATGGCACAGACAGATGAGATAATCCAGTTTTGACAGATCTGTCAGACATTAACTGAGTAGAGGCAAATCACTTTTTGTCTTAGTCTCTGTATGGGGAGTGCTGAATACTGAATATTTTATTGTAATTAAGCAAAGTACCTTGAAATTACATTTAAATGTGGTACTATACACTAGGATTAATCAAAGTCATTATCTTCCTGGCGTGGGCAGCATGGTGACACAGTGATATTAACGCTATCACCTCACAGCAAGAAGGCTCCGGGTTCCAGCCCATGCCGACCTGGTGCCTTTCTGTGCAGAGTAGGCATGTTCTCCCTTTGCCTGCATGGTTCTCTCCAGGTACTCTGGCTTCCTCCCAAGACATGAAGCTTAGGTTGATTGGCGACTCTAAATTGCCCATAGGAGTGCGTGCGTGCGTGTGTGTGTGTGTGTGGTTGTCTACATGTCAGCCCTGTGATAGACTGGTGACCAGTCCAGGGTGTTCCCCACCTCTCACCCAATGTCAGCTGAGATTGGCTCCAGCCCCTCCATGACCCTCTTCTGAATAAGCAGTATAGATGATGGATGGATGAGTATCCCCCTGGCATCATGGCAAACAATTACACAGGTCCAGCCCTGTAGTAGAAAGGAATATAAAATAAATTTTAAAAAAGCAGCAGACTGAAGTCTAAGACTAAGATGATTACAAGAAAAAAGTTGACTGAACGTTAACTGAATGTTATGTTGGCGTTTTGTTTCATTTTTAGCCTTTGTCTTAAGGAGCCAGATATACAAAACAGAGTGAAAAAAACAGTCAATATTGGATCTACATTTATCAGGTGAACACAAACACAACTTCACATGAATGCTAACACTGCCCCATATCTGCTGGATGTGTAGATAGGGAACTGTTTGCCATGTTAACTTTAAAAGGTGATGATGTTAGGTTTGTTTTAGCAGCATGTTCCCTTTGCCTCCACAAAATCACTTTTTGCTGTGTTTAGTTAGAACACAGTCAAGAATATAAAGGTAATGTAGTGCAGTACAAAACCACCTTTAACTATGAACTCAATAATAAACATATAATTGAATTTATACATTTATGATAATTTCACCAAAAACTGAAACATTTTGAGCTTCATAAACACAAATGTTAAGGTGGAAGTGTTGCATTGACATACATACAATTCAAAAGCCCTTTATGAATAGATTAAGATCAAGGACCGTGACGTCGCCCGGCATGGCGCAGCCGGGGCCCCACCCTGGAGCCAGGCCCGGGGTTGGGGCTCGAATGCGAGCGCCTGGGGGCCGGGCCTCCCCTCACGGGGCCCAGCCGGGCTTAGCCCAAACGAGCGACGTGGGGACGTCTTCCCGTGGGCCCACCACCTGCAGGAGGTTCCGAAAGGGGCCGGTGCATAGTGGATTGGGCAGGAGTCGAAGGCAGGGGCCCCGACGGCCCGATCTCTGGTCACGGAGACTAGGCCTGGGGACATGGAAGAGATTCTGG